GAAGCAACTACAAGAATCCAAAACACTTGGAAATTTTTGGAAAAAATCCTAAGTGTTATGATAGTAAAGCAACGACAAACAAGCCGACCAGGCCACCGGACAGGGTGGGCTACCTCACGGACGTAGCAGACACTCATGGGTGACCCAAGTTATGACCTTGACACTTGGACAAATTTTAGAATTGAAATGACAAAAGGCAAACAAGCATACAAGGAATTGAAAGCCGATCAGGACATCAAAAAACTTTTCATTCATAATGAGTTCATTACAATTGGGGGCACTTCGGCCGTTACATCATTTGGCAAAAAATTGAAAAGCTAATTACAACAGGGAATAGCCGATCAAGCCTCCGGGGCACCTTCATCCGCGGCTGGCTCTTCAACCTCGTCGGCTCCCTCCTCGGCGGCCTCTTCGGCCTCGTCAATTCCCTCCTCGGCGGCGGCCGCAGCGCTAGTGGCATCATCCAGGAAGTCAAATTCAGTGTAGTCCGGCTCGCCGAGGCCGGAGCTTTCAATAGGAGACTCACGCTCCGACAGAGGAAGATTGGCCTGCTCTTCTGGATCCTTCATCATCTTTGGCAGCCTCAGGTTCCGTCTGGCCCACCCGGACGTGTAGTTCATGGCCTTCAGAGCACGGGACAGCCGCCGACACAGGAGCCTCTGCATCCGCTGCTGGCCCATGTTGTAATAGACGGCCATCTCCCTGCTGAAGTACTCCTGGCCGGCGGGGGAGTTCATCCCCCGATCTTCAAGCCTGGCGGCAACCACTTCGTAGCACCAGGGAAGCCTCTCATCGGCCTTCCACCCCTCGGCCAGGAACCGCTCAACGGCCTCATCAACAGCCCTCACGACGGCGGCCTCGGCCTCAGCTTTCGCCCTGACGGCCTCCTCGCTCTTGCGCCTCTCGGCCCCAAGCGCCCTTTGGGACTCCTCGAGCTCCCTTTTGCTCTCCTCGAGCTTGGCCAGTGCATCGTCCCTGGCTGCGGCGGCTTCATCAGCCCTTGCCTGTAACGCCTTGGCATCCTCCCGGAGCCGATCAAGGCAAGCTACCGCCTCGTCGGCTGAGGCAGCCTTCTGCTCCAGCTCTTTCAAGCGAGCTATCTCCCAATACTGCCTCTTATGGCTTTCCATAAGCATAAAGGCACTCTGCAGAAGGAAAACAAAGGTCAGGCAAAAGACTCTACACAGACGAAGAGAAAGACAAAAACATAAGGACAGTAACTTACTTGGACGAAGAGGTCCATGCCGCCCTCGTAAATCTTCTCGTCCCCAAGCTTCTTCAAGTAAGCCCGATCTTTGGCCGGCATGGCCTGGGCCAGGACGACGTGGCCAGGGACGAGATCATTAAACACGCCCCCGCCGACGGGGTATTCTACCACCTTCTGGTAGGTGGCACCGGCAATCTCCTTGCCGGCCCTCTTCGTCCGTGGTTCCTGGACGAGAGGAAGCGATGGGGCAGCATTGTCAGCAGCACTAAGGTACACGACGGGGCCACCATCGTCCACGCTGGGGACAGTCAGAGTACCGGCCTCAGTAACCGGAGAAGGGGAAGGAGCCCTCTTCGTCTTCTTCAAGACGCTCAGGCCGGCCTCAGTTAACTTTTTCTGGCCGTCAGTGGCCGGCCTTTTCTTCCTCGATGGAGCAGGCTTTGGGGCCGCATCAGCAGTAGCCCCGCTCCCACCGGCCGCGGCACGTCTGGCCGCCTCGGCCGCCTTAGCAGCCAGCTCCTCGGCCGCCTTGGCTTTAGCAATCACCATTATGGAACGGCGATCCATGACGAAATCTACAAAGGAAAAATACCAGATTAGTAAGGCAAAAGAACAAAGCATAAAGACAGAAAGTCGAAGAGGTAATTACCATCGGCCTCAGCAGGAATGCCCAAATCCGGGCCGTCGGCCTCTTCGATAGTGGTAGTCATCCTCGGCCAGATTTGGAGATCATCCTCCTTATCACCATATACATAGTATCTACAGAAGCCGAGGGCGGCCATCTTATATTCCGTGATGTAGTCCTTCACGCTCCTCGGCCCCCCTTCCAAGAAAGCCTCCACCTGAGCGTCCAAAATAGAGCTCTTCGGCGGGTCGTGCAGGTTAAACCTCCCGGTGTGGCCGAGGGAGGGAAACTCGGTGCCACTCTCACCAATGGACACAAACACGAACTTGCTCTTCCACCCATGAATGGACGTAGGCAAATCCGTGAAGCTCCTCTTCTTCGGCAGCTGCTGAAGAGTAGCGTAGGCCGCACAGTTCTTGTGGCTTCCTCGGCCAATCTGGTACAGATTCATGAATAGAGCCGTTGTCGGCTTGTAGCCCAACTCCTCACACCGGAGCAAGAACCCCACCATCAAGGAGTAGCTGTTCGGCGTCAGCAAGGCCGGAGGAAGCCCTACCATGTCCAGGTACTCAGTAATGAAAGGGTGAAGGGGGAACCTCAACCCCTTAGCAAAACTCATCGGGTATACTCCAAAGTATCCCGGTGGTGGAAGAAGAACATGGTCCGTCGGCCTGGGTGCCCTAACCCGCCCGAACGGCCCCACGTACATCTGGGCAACCAGATAGTCGGCCGCACTGCTCTCCGGCTTGATCAGGTAGATGTTGGTGAGATCCAGGTAGGAAATGCCCGGCCCACTCTTCGGCCTCCTCACTCTCTTCGGCTTGGCGGCTCCCTTAACGGCGGACACCGGCCTCGGGCACGGAATGACAGCAGAAGTGGACGCCCCGTCCACCACTCGGGACGCACCTACGTCCTCACCCTTTGAAGAGGAGGCGGACTCCTCGTCCTCGCCTTCCTCGTCCACCGGCTCTCCGGATTTGTAGGGACTTAAACGCTCTATCTCCTCTTCAAACTCCTCGAGCACCTCGTAATCAAGCGACCTCGTGGAGGGCTGGTCGTCGTAGGGGTAGTAGTCGTCGTTCAAGCTCTTCATTACTACTACTACGGGCCTAAGGAGAATAACTTAAGATCTAAGGGTGTTCAAACGACTAACACTAGATCAACTACCTAGGAAGCAAAGTATGAAAAGTGAGGAAGATCGTGATGAACACTAACCTCGAACAACGAAGAACACGAAGAACAGGCATGGGAGTTTATCTCTCTAGAAAATCGGCCAGCACTTCGACAATTCAGAATTCAAATGTGGTCTCTTGTCGGAGGGGTGGGGGTATTTATAGAACCCCCATCCAACGGTCACTACACGTGGCACCCCCTCAATGGCCTCGCCAACGGCCACCAATGGGGGGCGACCACGTCACCAACGGGCCAAACTCAACATCAATAGCCCACTGGCAGGACAGACTCTACGGCCTACACACGCTCACCGGCTTTACGAATGCCAGCAAGCGCCCACTACGTCCCACTTGCTCGCCAAGACCACAACTGCAAAACAATAAGGAGACGCCAACGGCCAGGAACGTAACGGCCACAAGATCAAAGGACCCAAGAGCCCAAAAGCCATCGGCTCCTCGTCCTAACCCTTGATGATAACCCTCTACAAGCGATCTGCGCACAAGGGGTCTCCCACAGGGTTACCTTGGCCAGAAAATCGCCATGAGGGTTGGATTCAGGGGGACTACGGCGAGACCGCTTCGGCCGGGGACTCAAGCAACTCCTTCACCCCTCACACTCTTCGGCCTGAAGCAGTGGGGGACTGGGGGACTACACCGGCCTCAACAAAACAAAAGAGAATGCAAACAAGGTAACCACAAAGCATGGCCACATCATCCATACAGCACAACAGAACTTCATCGGCCAAAGGCCCATAACGTCACTAGCGACGGCCAACAAGCCACTAGAGGCAAGGACACTCATCGTCCTCCGCCAACAATTAATCTTGACGGGCTCTTCGGCCAAAAACACGAAGGCCAACCAGCAACGGCCAAAAGGAGTGCGCAAACACCCTCATCGGCCACACAAAGGAAAGGACGCCATCGTCCTCAGAGCAAAGAATAACTTCAGTGGCCTCATTGGCCCAAACACAAACTTCAACCATCAACGCCCAAGCAAACGTGCCTTTCAACGGCCACCATCGAAAGAAGGACACTCATCGTCCAAGAACAAAGACATCAAGTAAACAACGGCCTCCCTGTCCACAACAAGGAACAGATAACGGCCAAGGGCGCCAGAGCATAGGAATCTACTCTCCTTCACTTCATCTGCGTCTCAGCTTAGAGAGTGGGGGACTCCTGATGGAGTATATGGGTCTGAGCCCCCGGACCCACATACTCGGAAGAACAGAAAGCACAAGGCACAGAGTGGCGCCCTCGTCGGCCAGGACGCCCCCGTCGGCCGAGAAGGGGCCAACTCGGATTATGGTCCTGAGTCCAAGGAACCCGGGTGCCCTCGTCGGCCGTGCCCTCGTCGGCCGTGCCCTCGTCGGCCACGCCCTCGTCGGCCACGAAGACCTCACAGAATCGGATTTTATACTTACTCATTTGTACAGCCCATTAGTGGCTTTGTATTCAGCCCAGTAGCGGTCCAGTTGTAAATGGGCCTCCCGAGCCCAAGGCTTGGGAGCCCAACCCTAATTTTCTCTATAAATACTCCCTTTGAGAGTAGTTATAGGGGTTACAAATTCATTCTATTGAAGCATATTATTGCACTTCTCTCTCTAGCTCTCACTTCTCTCTAGATATACTCTATCAGAAATCCAAACTTCCGAAAAGCTAATTATTTAGAGAAACAGGTTTGCCTTCTTCTTAATTATGGAAATGGCCCCGTAATGAGATTTTGAAGTTTCTGAGTTTCCGGCACATTTCCAAGTTTAGGAATCAGGGAAATGTGAGTGAGAAGTTTCCGTGCTTCATAGCCTATGACTATAATATTGGTCTGGGCATGATGTGAAAATGGTTTATATGACACGCCACTCCCGCACTCAACAAGAAAACATGGAACCATTTATCTGAATGTGTCAATGTGTTGTATGTGTGTTTGAGAACCTACCCATCGATATTTTAGTAATTCACAATAGTTTACGTTGTGAATGATATTTTTATTGTCCTGCAGGTGGCAGCATATGATACAGTGGCAAAGGAAATGGCATTTTTTGACCCCTCGCGTGCCAAAGATTTCCTCTTCATCTCAGGAACTAAGGTATGTACTAAATTTGGGCCAACTCACCCCAAAAAGATCTTTGGTTAGGTTTGCTAAACCAACCCAGGCTTTTCCCAAACCATGAGTGTCAAACAAACAAACAACTCATGCCTCCAATACCCCAGTTGAACCTACCTCATTGTAATACGATTCTCTAGAAGCGAAATTTACCTCATCCTTATATGGTTATATGCTAGCCTAGGTATAGATATGGTAAATATAACACTTAACCATACGCTAGTAGAATATGAGCATTCCCTATATTCTGTTGATTGATGTATGTTGTCTCCTCATGGTTGGTCGGTGTGGCAATGACCCATTCCTTCACATGGCCCCCTACCTCGATGATGGCAGGGTTTTAGAATCTAAAACTTATGAGGAAGTTAGAAGCGTATGATCTTTTAACACTATTTCTTGATCTTCTCATTCTTTATGGGCCCCATATATGTATTTATTTATCACAACTGAAAATGGGCTCGTTGGGCAGATGCGGGCTTATGCGAGAACAGGGGAGAATCCTCCTGATGGTTTTATGTGTCCCCGGGGATGGAAAGTCCTGGTCAAGTACTATGAAAGCTTGCAAGTAGATGAAGGTGCCCAGAAGTCCGGTCTTCTCTTTGCTTAGTTAGTTTAGTGACTAGTAATTTTATCATCCGGTACTTCATTCTATTTTTTATTCCATGCCTTCTTCGAGAAATGAGGAGAATCCTTGTCGTGTTTTTTATATTAATATTGTTTCATCAAGGGAAAAATGAGAAGCTTTTAATTGCTTGCTTCATGTTTTTTGTGTGTGGAGTTCGATCCTCTATTATCTCAGTTGTACATTCTATTCTTTAGGGATCATCGACTGGCTGCCGAGCCGGCCAAAAACTAATGGTTCTGGGCTAGGTCGGGCTATGCTCAATATATAAAATTTAATTAAAGGGCTGAGCTTTTGTAAATAAAATTGTAATTGTAACCCGTCTATATAGTTTGGCTTAACGGGTTCGGATTGGATTGAACCACATGTCACCAATAGGGTTGAGTCTAGACGGGCTTACAAGATAAACACAAAAATTCTTTTGCATTATATAATGCAATATAATCAAGGGAAAATGGAAACTAATAATCAAACCTTTTAGCGGTCTTCTTACAATAGTCCCACCTTTTGATTATTCAGGAATAATCCAACCTTTGCACCCCATCTTCATCCAATGGTCCCTGACCGGTTGATGACTTGCTATTTCAAATTATTTTCTTATCTTTGCAATATATTATACCATAAATCACACCTTATGGTCACATAATGTTTTGCAAAGATAAGAAAATAACTTGGAATAGCAGGGTCATCAATCAGTCAAGGACCATTGAATGAAGATATGGTGCAATTGTGCAAAGGTTGGATTATTCCTGAATAATCAAAAGGTGAGACTATTGTAAGAAGGCTGCTAAAATGTTGAATTATTAGTTTCCATTAATAAAATGAAAGTTCCCTATAATCAATTAAATGAGTGAAAAGAATTTTTTACCTCAAAAAATGTAATAATAAAATGAAAGTTCAAATTATCAATATCTAAATTATTAGTGGTGCACTCTTGAATAAGAGATGTACAAATAGTGAAATATCACACTTATTATTCATTATCTAAATTTTCCATCTGTATCATAAACTTTTATCATGTAAAATCATCTAGAATTTCATTCTCTTCTACTAAATTTTATCTATAGATTGAAGCTTTTGGTGGTTCGTTACTTTGAGTTTTTTTCGAATTAATGCTAATTAATTAATTAATGACGAAAATAATGTTGTGTTAAAAGTATTTACTGATCTACTGCTGGGTTTAACCATGGTCGGGGTAAGTCACCAAACAGTTGGGCGACTTATAAGTCGCCATCCGGTTTGGCGACTTATAAGTCGCCCAACCGTTTGGCGACTTACCCATAAATTAAAACATCAGGTCTGCACCGCAACACAGAACGAAACTCCCCCATCCCAAACAATCTGCAGCGCATCGAGGATGAGCGAAAAACGGCCAAAACAAGTTCCAATTCCGGCGAAACTCTGGTGAGGCCTCCCTATCTTGTCAATACTACTTCACTTCCATCTTCTTCAACACTCTAGGTAAACAAATATCTCCAATTTATCTCATTTTTTCATTTTAGGGTTTAGAATATAGAAAATTGGATTTTGTAAATTAGGAATTCATTTGTGAGTTGATTTGTTGTGTAATGTGAATATGTATGAAGTGTTGAATGTTGATGTTGATTTCATTGTTATATTTTTTTTTTGAATTTTATTATGTAATGTAGATTTGGAGTTGTTAATTGAACTTTGTTAAATTTTTGATCTTTATTAATGCTAAAAAACTCAAAAATTAGAATGTATTATTTATTTTAAATGTTATATTTTTCCATTTTTAAGTGTATATATATCATATATGAATTGTGTATAGTAATGTGTACTTATGAAAGTTGGACATGTATTGTTATTAGAATATGGATTTCTCAAACTTTCCAACCGTGTGTCATTGGGGAGGGAACGTATTTGAGGAAGGTGGCCAAATACGCCATGAAGGTGGTAGAAGCAGCTTTGTCATTATTTCTCGTGGTGCATGTTTGGTCGAGATGTTGCAAAAAATCCATGCTGAACAAATTGTCCATCTGCGGCGGCGTACTTGCACATGTAAAAAGATGAAAATATATAAGATTCCATGCTCTCATGTATTAGCCGTGTGCAGACAACGTAGTTTGTCTTCTCATCCATTTGTGGATCCATTTTTCTCATCTGAACAATACCCCGCCACATATCAAAGAGTCTTTAAACTCATTCCTGACCGTGATTATTGACCGACTTACTATGGACCTGAAATTGTGCATGATCCATCCATGGTTCGGGCTAAGGAAAAACCTAAGTCCACACGTATTAAGAATGAGATGGATGAAGGTCCCTGAGGAACGGTTAGATGTGGAATATGAAAACAAACCGGCCATAATAGGGCCACATGTGCAAAGAGATCATCAAGAGATGGAGGGGGGTCCACTGGGTAAAGTTTAAATTATAATATTCCACATTTGATACTAACGGTGCATGAAAAAAATAGTAAAATATTAATTAAAAAAATAAAATAATACAATAGTAAAAAATAATTAATATCCTTTTTCTTTTTTGTAGGCAAGGAGGTGTCAGCGGATCCTGGACCGAGTGATCGTTCTGTCCTGACAGATGTTGTAGTTTGTCTTTTGTATTGGAGTTTTTCTTCTACACTAGATGTTGTAGGAAGAATTGACTTTATTTTATGTTTTTCTACCTGTAAACTCTTTTATGATGTGTTGATGTGTTCGGTTATGAATTTTAGATGACTACTGTGTTATGTTTATTGGATTATTGCGATAATCGAGATCAATTTAGGACGAAAAACGCAAATTTTCGCCACCGGGGCGCGCCCGACCGGCCTCGGCAGGGCCCAGACAGAACGTTTGGGTGTTAAAGTTTTAGGGTCGGGGTAAGTCGCCAAACAATTGGGCGACTTATAAGTCGCCAAACCGGATGGCGTTGTGAAACAAATTTTAAGTATTTACTTAAAATTGATCGCAAATAATAATATGTGAGAATATTGGGTACAATCTCTAAATATGAATCCTCTGATTCTTCACTTGCAATTTGAAATAAATATAATTAAAGAAATTAATTCAAAATTAAATCTTTAATCCTTCAAACGTTCGAACGTTCTTCAGATCTTCAAATCTTCGTTCTTGAGATCTTCGAATCTTCGAATCTTCGTTTGTCAGATCTTCAAATCTTCTTGAATTAAGAATTCAACTTGAAGGGCTTCCGGTTTTCAAGTGACTTGATCTTCAACAAAAGGGTCGTTTTATGACTTGATCTTTTGTTTAAGGGCCTCCCGGGATATATGGCTTGATCTTCAATTGAATCTTGATTCAATCTTCATGTGAGTATCTTCAAATCTTCAAAGATTCGTTCTTCATATCTTCGAATCTTCAAAGTTTTGTTCTTCAGATCTTCGAATCTTCAAGCTTCGTTCTTCAGATCTTCGAACGTTCTTCAACTTTTGGATTTATTTTATTAAGAATCGACGAAATCACGAAGGATTATTCGTATATTCTTAATAAAATTCGTGGCTTAATCTATTCCTCTTCTTCGGAATCGTTCAGAGCCTTTCGGGAGTTTTTGAGAGCTTTTCTGCAACGTTTCTTCGTCTGAAAATTCTCCTGTCCCTTTCCTGTCAACTGAGACCCCTATTTATAGGTGTGGAGGGGATGAAAATATGCTTTAGGGTTTTAGAAATTCGTCCATATCCCTTGGGCCTCAAATAAAATGGGTTGTGGGCTCTATTTGCTTGCATTTAATAGCTAGAAAAATCAGCGCTTGTTTGATGTATCTGGACAGCCTTTTTAACAAGGTTCACAGCCATTTTCCATGCATATGGACTGATTTTTAATCAGATTCGTCGTCCACTTCAAAAGTTGGATTATACCTCTTATTCACTGGGCTATTATTTAATAATGGGCTCAAAATAAAGAAATTAATAGGACCAGTCCATTCTTTTAAAGATTTAATTTATAATTAAATTAATTGGATATTTAAACGACCCAAGTTAATTCAATTATTAAATTTTATCCGAATGGATCCATATTAATAATTTTATAAGGCCCAACAACCATCACAAACAGCCCAACAGAATTGAACATTGGCCCAATAATTTTTATATGTCCACAAATGCCCCTCGAGACTTGGTTGGACTTTACTTATAAAAGGGCGAGCAAGACTCGGTACCTATAAGCTCAAAATCTTCCTACTCATTTTTTTTTTGGGGAAGAGTAGGCCCAGCATTTCTGAATAAGTCGAGGCAAGTTAATGGTATGTATGTAAGTTTAGAATAGCCGAGAAGTGTTATATTCTGTTATTCATTACGTGTCCCATCTGCTAATGAATAATAATCAGGAGCCCATGATCGAAACTTTCAAGTTTCAACCGAGTAATCATAGCAAAGGAATACTTCTGGCATTCAAGTAGTACTCAAATACACATAACTTGGCATCTGGCAGTATCTTCGTATATGTTTCCTATTCAAACTTTAATACCCAAACTTTTATAAATAGAGATATCAAGAACCCCTTTCACAGATGCAATTTCGGCCAAGAAGAAATATTAAAGGCAGAAGACTAAATTGATTAAGGTGAGCTTATGTATATTTTAACACATCTGCCTTTCCCCGTTCTTTTCTCTTTTTGCAGGGACCCTTGAGTTTACAGTAAGATATATTGCAATAGAAGGGCTAAGGCTGCCAGTCTGCTACAAAATCCCGGTGGAGTAGATGTCGGGTCTGAAGCTTTGGCATGGCCGTCAATTGCTATCTTGTTTCTGTTAGTATTGCTGAGTTCGAGGTTGACTTCCGATGGTGGGCAATAGACCGAGGCTTCAAGGAGGATCTTTGCGGGCAAGTATCAAAAGCAAGCTGGCCGCCGATTGGGTTTCGATATTTCGATGAGCAAAGTAGAATCACTTCAAGTTTGCTGCGGTTGGTCCTTCCAATTTCCCCTGCCATATGGACGTTCGTCAGAGAAGAAGTGTTGCTGAGATTCAGAAGTCGCCGGCCAGAATTCGAATTGATGTCGATGACAGGGACCACTTTTGTTGATGTTTGAAGACAGGAACGCCGTTTTCACCGGAGTGAGGACGAGAGGAGTTACTGTTGCCGCCAGAGATCGATGGCAGAGGCTGAGACAACGACCCTGCTGCTGATTTTTTTTTCATGTTCGCCAAGAAGGAGACGGATGGATTGCAGCTTTTGGTCTCGTGTTTGTGCGAAGAAGATGACAAAATATGAGACTAGTTCTTTTAATAAACATTGGGCCTTTTGGGCCTATTTATAAATTGAGCCTTTCATTTTTTTATGGGCTATCTTCAACAATGAGGAGCTCTGAAATGATACTGAGGCCAGATTTTCTGCTGCGCCATTAATTGAATAGGAAAGAGATTGACTGATTATCAATCGTCGGTGTCGCTTGGGGCCCTTCGTTGGGCTAGTGATACTGATCGAAAGAATTAGGCTGATTTCCGACCGTCGGTGTCGCTTGGGACCCTTCGTTGGGCTAGTGTCACCGATCTAAAGAAATAGATCTATTGCCGGTCATCGGTGTCGCTTGGGGCCCTTCGTTGGGTTAGTGGCACCGATCTTAGTGACACCGATTTAAAGAATTAGGCCGATTACCGGTTATTGGTGTCACTTGGGGCCCTTCGTTGGGTTAGTGGCACCGATCTAAAGAATTTGTCTTATTGCCGGGCGTCGGTGTCACTTGGGGCCCTTCGTTGGGTTAGTGGCACCGATCTGAAGAATTAGGCCGATTGCATATCGTTGGTGTCGCTTGAGACCCTTCGTTGGGCTAGTAGCACCAATCTAGAGAATTCGGCTAATTGCACCTGTCGAAGACTGAGATGTTGCCGCTACTTTCGACCTTTGCCCATTCTGAAAGAGCTCGACTAATTATTGGCCAGTGTTACTGATTTCTTTGTTCATCTAGTCGGAAGATGAAGTCAATTGCTCGGGCTTGAGATTGATTATCATTGCTGAGCGGCCTTTTTATTATTATTATTATTATTATTATTATTATTATTATTATTATTACTTTATTTTTTTTAGTAATAATAATAAGGGAAAAGTACACTTTACATACCTGTGGTTGTGGTCGTTTGCAATCAGGGGTCTGTGATGAACTTTGCAACAAACCCAAGCTTGTGCTTTCCTACCGTTACCACCCGCGGGGTCTAAGCGACTGGGCCGTTAGTAATACGCTACGTGGCACTTTTTTTTGCTTACGTGGCTTTTAATCCCAATCTATTAACACCATGTGTGATTACATGACTTTTTATCCCTAGTCCATACCGTGTTAACCTATTTGGACCATATACGCATACGAAATCCATTCCCCTCTTCCACAAACACAAATACAAATTTGAAGAGATGAGTTCTTCTAATTCGAGCTCCTGTGCGATGGATGGAAGACAACAAATCAAGAAGTGCGGCTGTGGAGTCCAAGCTCCTATTTGGACGGCGACAACAGAGAAGAACCGGGGGAAAAAGTTTCATGCTTGCGGCCGTTATTCTCGAGGGGGCGAACAACAATGCAATTTTTTTGAGTGGGTTGAAGAAGATACGTGTTGTACTTGTCTGCATAACTTAGATGCTGTTATTGAGAAGGTCAGAAGACTTGAAGAATATGTCCAGATGAAAGAGTTGGAGATGGAGGGTCAAATAAAGAACTGTGTGCGTGAAATTGGTGTGTCGAAGGTTCAGAACATGGAACTGCAACTGCGGATGTCTAAGAATCATAATGTCACTTTTAAGTGAAAGCTGCTCTGTCTGGCCATGTTAATTTTCATGTTCTTTGCAAGTAGAAGATTTTAGGTCTAAGTTCTTTGCTAAGTTTTCGATGAAATGACCAAACCACGTGTAATTGTGTTTGGAGATTCCTTTAGTTTAATTTCATGTGAGACGTTTTGTTGTGAGTGATGTCCAATGTAATGCACCAATGTAAGAACCTTGTAAGGGTTGATGTCAGATTGTATGAAGATTTTGGCTGTAACAATTTGTGTGAACTTTTTTAATGTTATAGCAGTTTATTTCTCCACATCTTCTTTTGGTTAATGTTATAGTAGATATACTGGGAGTGCTGTGAACTTCTTTAGATTAACAACATGGCTAGTATCATAAAAATCTACCTCAAACAATTTGTCCCCACCAGGAGTGGAAAAACAATTCCTACTTTCAAATTTAAACTTTTCAAGTAGATCCTGCTTATTAGGACATATTTCACCCTTATATTTCATCATGGCAGTGTACTTAACATGAAACCTAGCCATTAATCTTCTTCTAATCCACTCAAACATGCTCAAAATATGCATATCTCTTGCTCTGAGTATGTAGGCATTGAATGACTCACAAATGTTGTTCTGAAGAGCATCAGAATGTGCTAAGATTGAGAAATGGGATCTGCTCCAAGTACTTGGGTCATACTGCATAATCCAGTTGTAAGCAGCCTCATCAAAGCTCTTGATGCCTTCCATTTGCCTCTGCCATGACCTCAGACTTCCAGTGCTAGCTGCAAACCATATTTTTTTTTTGTATTCAGGCCCTCTAAATATCTTCTTGTAATTCTCATACATGTGCTTCACACAATATTTGTGCTCATTTGCAAGTGAGACAACTTTAAATGCTTCAACTAGTCCCTGAAACAAGGTAACAATTAAAAACAGTATATGGAAACAACAAATTTTTAAGCATGATATAAGTACACATTTTTAACACACCTTCTGCTTGTCTGACATGAATACCCAATTAGTTTCTTCTGGTCTTCCAAAATCTTCAAACAACACTTGCAAGAACCAAGTCCATGAAGCTTTGTCTTCACTATCCACATAAGCTATAACAAGAGGAAACATGTTTTCATTTCCATCCCTTGCTACAACACAAAGCAGTTGGCCTCCCATTGGTGTTTTCAAGTGGCACCCATCTAACCCAATTAAGGGTCTAAGACCTGCAAAGTAACCCTGCTTCTGAGCACTAAACCTCATGTACATGTATTGAAGCATTAGAATTTCCTTGAGTATTCTTGGTACACCCTCTGCAGCACCACCTTCTTCATTGACATCCCTAGCTTCAGTTTTGATTATTACAAGACTCCCAGGGTTGTATTTAACAACAGTTTCTGCATAATCCCTCAACCTCCTATATTGTTCTTTGATATCTCCTTGGATCTTTGCCTTTGCTTTTCTTCTAGCTCTGTAACACTTTGCAAGACTCACCTCTGCCCTTAACTGTCTTTGAACTGACTTTTGCATAGCAGTGACATCCTACTCAGGATTTTCCCTCAACTCATCCATGTACTTTTTTGCCAAATAGCTACTAGTCACCAAGCTGTTTCTGTTACTAAAAGGGCATTCATGTTTGGGCCTGAATGTTTTTATTTGGAAGGACCCACATTCTGGAACTTTTGATGCATGAACCCTGAATGAACAAATGTCCTTGTTTTTGCAAACCACAGTGATTTTAGATCTATTGTTCTTCACAAATTTGAATTCAAATCCACCCTTGACTGCCCATTCCTTAAGAGCATTTCTAAAAGAGGTATGTGAGGTAAATTTCAAACCTTTGGATAATTCTGGATTTGTAGCTCCTGTTTCTTCATTGAACTCTTCATACTTTTCATCACCATCTTCAGATCCTACAATGCTATGCAAGTCATCACTATAGCATGGACTTTCATTAAACTCCTTAAGCTGCTCTTCATTCAGATCTTCTGGAAAAAAGGGGTTTGGTTCTGAAGGTTGGTCTGGACCTGGGGGTGGTTTTTGGCTTAAACTTGCAGCTCCATGATTAAATACATCATCTTCACTCCCTTCTAGGTCATCATATAGCCAGGAAGATTCACTCCCTTGTAGGTCATCATATAGCCAGGAAGCTTCACTGATATTGGAATTGGAATGGTCATGTGAAGCACTTTCAGATCCACTTTGATTCACATAGTCTTCATCATCCTCATCACTCTGTAATTCAGTTTCAACAAATGTAGTGGATTCACCCACAGATTGGTCTGCTTGTCGAGCTTGATCTTTATTTTGTAATTGAGTTGGGACTGAAGTGTGGGCTTCCTGTGAAGATTGGGTTGTTTCTTTTGCTAAAGTACCAACCACCCGTTTTTTACTTGTGTTTGCAACAAAGTACAAGTCAATGTGTGGGTCCATTATGTTACACACCAACATGTCTTGAACATCTTTATCACACACTATCTCTTGCAAGGTGACTGGTCCACACAACTCCCTAATTGAGAATCTTCTAAACCACATTTTTACCCCATTTGTATAACCCAAATCTGCTGCATATCCCTCCAATTCGAACTTGCTCACATAGTCAATGTCAACTTTATCTTTTTTCAAAACATGGCCTCCCACATACTTTTTCTTTTCTTTTGGACAGTCCCACTTTCCACCATGGTGAATTAACAAATTCACGTACTCACTCATACCAAACCTGCACATACATTCAATGCGGACAAACTACACTTCAATACCAAAAAAGAATGAAAATTTAAACTGCAACACAAACTTCAATACCCATTAACACTTCCAACGAACCCATTCGCACATTAATTTACCTACCAACCAGGTTTTCCAACAAGCGTCACACCCTAACCAAAATATGTAAACCAAAGAAACAATTATTGGAGTACTTACTTTCACGTGAAGACTCTAAGGACAAAAAACTACAATTCCATCTGCCAGTGCTTGCGTTATTGTCCTTTGTCTGCTTCGACCAACAATCTTTGTTCTTTCCCAACCGGAGGTGTAGAATCGAATGGGAGGAAGAATTGGGTTTTCTTCAGCCCTAATTTCACCTAATTGTAATTGGGTTTTCTTCAGCCCTAATTTCACTTAACTTTTGCATTTTTAAGTAATTAAAATAATACATCTTAATTGGAGCTTAGTTGAAAAAAAATGCCACGTAGTGTATTACTAACGGCCCAGTCGCTTAGACCCCGCGGGTGGTAACAGTGGGAAAGCACAAGCTTGGGTTTGTTGCAAAGTTCATCACAGACCCCTGATTGCAAACGGCCACAACCACAGGTATGCAAAGTGTACTTTTCCCTAATAATAATGATGATTTTTTTATTTTTTTTTATTTTTTTTTTGCAGTCCAAAATGATATCTTTTAAGGACGTAAGGCGTGGAGGCAAAAAGTATCTCTCCATATCAACGAGCAAGAAGAATGACGAAGAGATTCTTTTGGAGATGCACAAGCCATTCGCTCGCGAGTTTTGGGGTCCAACGGTTGTGTCCTATCGAGTTAAAACTGGACTCCTGAGTACGAGTATCAAGCTCAAACAATGCGGACTTAAGTATCTGGCTTTACTCACATGTCCTCTTCTGAGATTCTTCCTTCTTTGGGTAGAC